ACAAATGGTTATTTTTTCCGGTTTGAAAATGAGCAGAGATGAAGCCCTTGCCCAAGCTTATTCCTGTGGGGCATGGTGTTGGCTGCTGGGCCCACCCTGTGACCTCATGACCTTGTTGATTTCTGTAGCTTTTCCACAGAACTTTTAGGAAGTCATACCAAAATAGTAGTATATTCCTATTTCTTCTTCTAGTATTAGATGCATGTACTTAAAAAAATGCAACCAAATGTGTTCTAGACTTATCATCTGAGATTTTTAGAAGAGATTGAATCAATTTGTAGTTTTATTTTTTAGTCAGACATAAGAACCTCAGAATGAATGGAGATTTACTCATCTGAAGCTTTCTTTTTTAAGCCAGAAGTTAAACCCATATAATATTGAGGTTGCTGTTGTGGAGTGTATAAATGAACTCAGAAAATGGTTCCACTTAGTATAGCATAAATTTTTTTTTTTTTAGTATAATGTAAGAAGTGCAAAATTTGTATCCTGAAAACTATAAAACAGTTGAAAGAAAATTTTAAAGTTCTAAATAAACAAAAAGACATCTGTTATGGTTTAATTATACGAAATGTCCCCTGAAAGCTCATGTGTAAGACAAAGCAATAAAGTTTGGAGGTCAAATGATTGGGTTACAAGATCCTTAACCCAATCAGTACATTTATCCGCTTAAATTCATTGGGTGGTAATGTAGGCCGCCAGGATGCAGCTGGAGGAGATAGGTCACTGAGGGAGGGCCTTGGGGGCATATATCTTGTACCTGGTGAGCACAGTGCTCTCTTTGTGCTTCTTTTGACCATGTCCTGAGCTGTTTTCTCTCCAACACTCTTCCACCATGATGTCCTGCGTCACCTGGGCCCAGAGCAATGTGTGGACTAAGACCTCTGAAACTGTGAGCCCCAAATAAGCTTTTCTTTTTCTAAAATGCTCTTGTCAGGTCTTTTGGTCACAATAGCAAAAAAGCTGACTAGTTTTATGTTCATGGTTTTATATTCATGGATCAGAAGACTTAGTAGTGTTAGATTAGGAACACTCTTCTGGTTGATCTGCAGCTCCAACTCATTCTCTTTCAGATCTCCAGCTGAGTTATTTGCAGAAATTTACAAAGCTGATTCTAAAATTCAAGTAGAAATTTAAGGGACTGAGAACAGCAAAACATTCTTGAAAGTAGGAATAAAATTAGAGACCTCACGCTTCCAAATTTTCAAACTTATTACAAAGCAATGGTTATCAGGATGGTATGATGAGGGCATAAGGCTAGACATTTATGTCAAAGAATATAATTGAGAGTTCAGAAATAAGTCTTCACATTTATGGTCAATTGGTTTGGGACAAAAGTGCCAGGATAATTCATTGGGGGAAATTATAAGATTATCTTTTGTTTTTATTCTTTAACTTATTTTGTCTTGGGCATTGAATAGTATTTTCAATAAACAGTGGTGAGAGAACTACATGTCTACCTGCAAAAAAATGATTTTGGACTCTTACATCATATCACACAAAAAATTAATTCAAGTCAGGTGCAGTGGCACATGCCTACAATCCCAGTGACTTGGGAGGCTGGGAGGAAAGCAAGTTTGGGACCAGCCTCTGCAACTTAGTGAGGCCATTTCAAAATAAAATAAAAAGGACAAGGGATGTAGCTCAGTGGCAAAGTGCCTCTGGGTTCAATCTCCAGTATACCCCAAATTAACTCACAGTCCTAAATATAAGAGCTAAATTATAAAAATACTTAAGAGAAAACATAGGTGTAAATCTTCATGACTTTGGATGAGGCAATAGTTCTTAAAGATGATACCAAAAGCACAAGCAACCAATGAAAAATCACAAATTGGGCCAAATCAAATTTTTTTTAAAAAATTGTATTACAAAAAAAATTGTATTTCAAAGGTCATGATAAAGGGAGTAAACCCACAAAATAGAAGAAATTTTTTTTGCAAATCAAATAACTGACAAGATACTGGCATCTAGAATACATAAAGAATGCTTACAATTACATAATAAAAAGATGACTCAACAACAAAAACAAAAAACTCCAAAAACCCAATTTAAAAATGGACAAATTATTAGAACAAATATTTCTCCAAAAAAGATGCAGAAATGGTCAATATGTACATGAAGAAATGCTTAAAGGACTGGAGGTCTAGCTCAGTGTCAAGCATAGGTTTAGCATGCCTGAGTCCCTGAGTTCTATCCTCAATAGCCACCCACTCCACACACAAATGCTTAACATCACTGATAATTAGGGAAATGGAAACACAAATCACAATGAGATGCCAATTCACATTTGTTAGGATGAGTATTATAAAAAACAAAAAAAAAACAAAACCCAGATAGTAACATACATTCATCAGGATGCAGGATGGTGGTGGGAAGATAAAATAGTGCAGCCACTATGGAGAATGGTATGATGATTTCTCAAAAAATTAATCATAAGATTATCACCTAATCCAGTAGCTTCACTTCTAAGCATACTAAAAAAAAAGTGAAAGCAGGGATTCAAACAGATATTTGTACACCCATCTGCATAGCAGCATTATTCATAATAGCCAAAAAGGTGGAAGTAACTCAGATGTCTGTTGATGGATGAATGGGTACTCAAAATGTGTCTCTCTATTTCCATATGATGAAAGATTATTCAGCCTTGTAAAGATAGGAAATGTGGACACATGTTACAACATGGTTGAAACTTGAGGACATTATACTAAGTGAAAAAGCAGTCACAAAAGGGCAAATATATAAAATTCTGCTTATATGTGGTACATAGAGTAATCATATTCAGAGAAACAAAAAGTGCAATGTTGGTTGCCAAGAAATGGGTACAGGGAATAAGGGGAGTTAGTGTTTAATGAATACAGAATTTCAGTTGGGAAAGATGAAAAATTTCTGAAGATGGCTGCTATTTAAGTAACATTGTGAATGCCCTTAATTCCACAGAACTACATACTTTAAAAGATGATAAAAATGCTAAATTTTTATTGTATATAAATATGTATATATATATATATATATATATATATATATATACCCACACATTTGGCACAATGAAAGGATGAATTAAAACATAATAAAAAGACAAAGAACCCAACTGAAAAACAGGCAGAAGATATGAACAGTTATTTCGCTAAGGAAATTATATAGCCAGGTGCAGTGACATACACCTGGAATCCCAAAGACTCAGGAGGCTGAAACAGGAGGATTGCAAATTTGAGGTCAGTCTCAGCAATTTAGGAAAGCCCCAAGCAACTTAGTGAGACTGTCTCAAAATAAAAAATGGGGTAAAGGGGGAATTCCGGGATGTAAGTAGTGGTAAAGCACCCTTGGGTTCAATCCCCAGTATACACACACACACACACAAATGGCGAACAAGTACATGAATGATGCTCACAATCATTAGTCACTAGGGAAATGAATATCACTAAGATAGTTTTAATAAAGAAGACAGATTACATGTTGAGGGGGATATGAAGAAATTGTAGCCATCCTATACTACTGATGGGAATATAAAAGGGTGGGATCATTTCAGAAAATGGTCTAAGAAGTTCCTCAACAGTTAAACATAGAGTTCCCAGATAATCCAGTAATGGATCCAGTTATAGACTGCAGTGATGGATACATAACTCCAAATACACTAAAGAACATTGAATTGTATTCTTCAAGTAGATGAACTGTGTGGTCTGTGAATTTAATTTTTAAAAATGATTTAAAAAATAATAAGCTTTGGGTGCTTGAGATATATTCATGAGATGATGAAAGTACCAAGTTGTAAATGCTTATCAAGCAATGATACTTAATTGTTTGCTCTCTCTTCTCTCATATTTGTGAATATAAGTTTAAAAATTGAGGCTATTTTTCTTGAAATCAAGAGGTTTTGCCATTTTTTTCTCTGTGGGAAAAAATGGTACCATATAATTTTATTATCCTTTCCTTCTCTCCTCTCTCTCTCTCCCTCCCCACCTCTTTCTTTTTTGCAGTACTGAAGACTGACCCAGGGCTTTGCACATGCTAGGCAACTGTCCTAGTGCTCAGCCATGTCTCCAGGCTTCCTTCCCTTAAAAAAACAAAACAAAAACAAGTTAATTGCATTATTATTTTTATGTCATAAAGTACATCCATTTGAAGAGTATAATTCAATAACTTTTTTTGTAAATGTATGTGGTTATCCAAATATCACCACCATTCAGCTGCAGAACATTTGCATCACCCAAAGTGTTTCCTGGTGACTATTTGCAGTCAATTCCTGCACCAGCCTTGTATCATCCCTACAGCAAAGAGGGACAGTAAGATACCTGAATATCTCCTTTCTATTCCCTGCAAACCTACCTAAGTTAAAGGAACAATGAGAGCAAGTCTGAGCTGGAAAGTCCAGATACGTATTATCTTAAAGGACAATGGCTTTCTCTTGTGCACACGGCACTAGGGCAAGGTAGTGTTATCTGTAGAAAGCTACTTCCTTGCATGCACACCAGGACAGTTGCTCCTTGGGACGGTAATCAAGCTGATGCTGATGAAGTCACTGCTTCTGCAGCCTGACATGTACAGCCCCTCTCTGAGTGGGGATGCACGTGGAACTGGGGGCACCGTGGAAAGCATATGTGTCACTCGTCCTTTGGGTTGCCACTGGATAAAACACAGGGAGGGAGAAGAGGTGCTGTTCAGCAAAGCACCATGAGGGACAGAGGTGCTGTCTGTTGCCAGTTACCACTGAACTCCTCTTGGGGCAGTCTCTGATCTCTCGTAGCTTTCCCCATTAAACCATATGTCTCCCATGTCTCTGGACACTTTCTTTGACTTTTCTGCAGCCTAACCATTGCCCTAGCACAACTGGGCAGAAGATGGATTGAGATACCTGAGCGGATTGTTTAGGTTTCATATCATGAAAAAGGTCAATGCACAATTACCTATAGATTAGCAACATGCTTTATAAATTGAGCCTGTAGCATTGCAAATACCAATTTTGTGTTGGAAAACAGGTATTTTCACCCACACACACAAAAATGGTATTTATGTTGAGTATAATAGATTTATTTTAAATGGATAAAATAGTAAGTTCTCGGTTTTAATTCTATGGTTAATGTTAACAGATGTAACCCACATAAACAAAATCTTCTTGGGGTTCTCAGTAGTTTGTAGAGTGCAGGGGTTCTCAAGGGAATTCTCAAAAGGAATACATCCGAATCACCTTGACTTCAAGTCCCACACTTTCTTCATCCCTCTGATATTTCTCTCCACCAACTTTTCTGAAGCTCATCGTGGTAAGGTTACCTATAAATTCCCAATTTTGAAATCCACTTGACATTTGCATTCCTTATCTTATTTGACCGCCCTTAAGCCTCTAACATTGTTGTCCACTCCCTTCCCAAAAATCTTTCTCCCTTTGATGTTGCAACACCACCCCACCTCAATGTCTCTTCCTATCTTTCTGTCTTTCTAATCCCCTTTGCTTGATCCTTGCCCTGACTATTGGCCATTTCTCAAGATTTCAACTTAGGTTTTCGTTTCTCTCTGCTCTAGGTATTTCTCCTGGGGTGTCTTCTCAAATTTGTAACTTCCTTTGCTGCCTCTATCCAGTGATTCCAAAATCTGCATTTCTTCCCTGAACTTGATATCACTTATTTCTGCAAGCGTACCCATGTCCAGATAGACATCCCTAAGGGAAGATGTGTAACTGAAACGCATATATAACTTTCCCTTGCCAAGCTCACTTTTTGACTTGTATGCATATTTTTGTAATATTATTATCCATTTATTTGGAAACTCAAGACAATCGTTAAAAAAAAATAACTTGTGAGGTTATCTTTGACACTTTCTCTTCTGAGGCCCCTCCTCCAATATGTGTTAGATCTCCAAAACCCTTCTAGTTTCAAACCATCTCTCATGTTTATTCCTTGTTTTTGCTCCTTTTATTTATGCTCACACCATCTTTTACCTTCACAGGAGATCAGTGTATCTCCAATTTTCCTCCCAACGGCTTGACAGAGTTTCCTTTTTCCAAGCATACACAAGTTTGTCCATTGTATTTTGAGTGTTTAAAATTCTCCTGTGCTTTCTCCCCACCTATAGGATAATATCCACATCAGCAGGCAAAAAACACATGAAGTCCTGTTTGCCATGTTTTTCAGCTTTGTCTCTTGCCACCCCAAATTATACCCTATCTCCCAGCCATGACTTGTGCCTTTGAGGCATTCAACCCACGAACCCTCTACTGATGGGGTATATCCCAGCCCTTTTCCTTTTATTTTTGAGAAAAGGCCTACGTTTCATAGGTTGGCCTTGAACTTGCAATCCTCCTGTCTCAGCCTCCCAAGTAGCGGGGATTAAGGCATGCACCACTGCATCTGGTTACCCGTGTAGTTTCTGGGTGTCCATATCTTTCTGTCAGCAGAGCTCCTTCTATGGGTTTCTTCTTTGTTGTTTTTTCCAAGTCTCTTTTTAAAGGTCATCTCTTTTCTGCAATCATCTCCTCTCAGCAAAGAAACATATTTGCTTGCTTTATTTTGCAAATTCTCAAATCAGTGCTCATCAGCCCATATCATATCTCATTGAACTGTTGATATTTGTTTGCATCTCTAATTCCCCACTAGACTTTGGCTGTAGGGCTGTCTCCTCAGTGCCTAACCAGTGTCCAAGTCCACTGTGTGTGTGTGTGCCAGTGGATTAGTTGGGTGGGAAAGTCAGAAGACGTTCCTTTGCTTTCTCTCTGAATCAGCTGCAGAGACATGATTTCTCTCCACAGTTAAATCAGATGTGAATACTGACTTGCTTCACCACGCAGAAAAGTGCACATCCAATAATACAGATGAAGCGAAGCTTCCCTCTCACAGAGGGACCAGGAATTATTTCTTGCAGTTTTGTTATTTGCTTCTTTTCATAGATTAGAAACAAAAGAGATGTTGGGATGAACAGACTCATGGGGAGAATGAAAAGTCAGGTGAGTGCCTTGGAAAAAAAGGTACCAAAGTAGATGAGGGAGATAGAATTAAAAAAAAAAAAAGATTGTGGGAAAGAACGTAGAGAAACAGTACCAAAGAATAGTCCATTTGCTGCCAATAAGGCGCAACAGGGAAAAAGAAATACAGGAATGAGAGGAAGCTCTGACAGGATGCAGCTTCACAATTCTTTTCAGAGTTCAAGCTCAGGCAGGCTCCTGGACATTGTCTCCAAACTATGTGTTCACCCTGACGCTCAGATCCATGTATGCTTTCTCTGAAAGGAATTTTTGGGTCAAAAGGCCAGAGCCTCTACATTAGAAGAAGGAACTTGTCTTTTCAGGATATAGGTACCATCTTAGGAATAAAACCAGCTAACACCCCAATCATTTGATGAAACTGTTCCAATAATGATGAGTGCAGTTTCAGATATTGATGAGACGCCCAGAGACCCCAACTGTTATATTCAAGTTCTTCCATCTGGTGCTTTTGTGTAGGACTTTAATAAGATTCTATACCAAAATTCAATACTCGTTTTAAAAGTTATTCTCATTTGTAAATTTAATACTCTTTGATGTTAAAATCATAAGTAATTCTTATTTGAAGAACAATAAGAGACCATGGCTATTGCTGGTAAGCTTGTGAGTTAAAGAGTAATAGAACTATAAATTTAATCATATCTTTAGAACTGCACCAGAATGTAAGGATTGAATGTATAGTTCCCTCATTTTTTTTTTAATGATTGCTTTCTCCAGAATTGGAACTTATTGGTCTAGTAATAAGTTGCATACTGAATGAAGTAGACTCAAAACTTAGAAGAGCTGGGCATGGTGGCACATACCTGTAATCCCAGCAGCTTGGGAAGCTGAGACAGGAGGATCATGAGTTCAAAGCCAGTCTCAGCAATTTAGTGGGGCCCTAAGCAACTTAGCGAGACCCTGTCTCAAAAAAATTAAAAGAGTTGGGGATGTGGCTCTATGGTTAAGCACCCCTGGATTCAATTCCCAGTATCTCCCCCAAAATAAATAAATGAATAAGAATAGTGTCATGTGGTAATGTTTAAAGGTAAAATATGTTCTCTTATTGAAACTACTGTAATATTTGCCTGGTATTGAAAGATAATGACACATTGGATCATTTTAAAATCAGAAGAATATACAGAAGCTAAATAGTTTGCAAAGATATGGTTTAACAACCACATTTTCTTTCTTTCTTTTTTTTTTAATCAGTCTGTGGATTGAACCCTAGGATACTCTATCACTGAGCTACACCCCCACACCTTTTTTTTTTAATTTATTTTTATTTTGAGACAGGGTCTTAACAAGTTGCATAGGTTGGTCTCATACTTGTGATCCTCCTGCCTTGGCCTCCCAAATTGCTGGGATTACAGATGTGAGCTACTACAACCAGCTAAAACCTTCATTTTCAAAGTACTGTCCCATCTATTATTAAGGCCTATAGGAAAGTCTTTCATGTATAAATCCTCAAATCAGATTTATTAGATTTTATGTTTCTTTTTAGCATTCTTCAAATACCAAACTAATCACTAAGCATTTAAGAAGAGTTTCCCAAGTTCTATCACTCAAATAAGATTTCACCAGTTCGGCCCAATGATTATCCATGGGGGGAGATGGATTTGTAGTCAGGAAACAGGCGGAAACATAACTTAGCTGTCAAATGTAGTGCTCATTCTTCTTTATCTGCCACCTGCTTTTTAAAAATACCGTGTCCAAGTCTCTCAAACCTTGTACCATGGGATTATAGAATGTTTGAGTCTGAAGGGAACAGAGAGATGTGTCAACTCCTGAATTGCCTATGATCACCAACTCACCTGGAGAAGAGTCCAGGTTGGAACCTGGGCTTCCAGCTCTGGCCACCTCTGACACCTCCCATCCCATCACTTTGTCTCAGGACTCACTGTCCAATGCAAAGATTGTATGACTGACATTCTCCAAAGTCTGGGATATGCATGTTCAGATGCAGGAATCAATGTGGTTTATAAGAGTTGGTGCTGGTTCCCCGCGATAGAATGAACTACTCAACGATCATTTGTCTATGTGTACAAGTAATAAAAGAGAGAGAAGGAGGTAGATGGACAAGAGTAAGGTGGGCTGGCATAGAAGCCACTGAGTTTAACATTATTTTTAAAACATTTATTTTTTAGTTGTAGTTGGAAACAATACCTTTATTTATTTGTTTGAACCCAGGGCCTCACAAGTGCTGGGCTAGTGCTCTACCATTGAGTCACAAGCCCATCCCAAATTTAGCATTTTTATGAGCAAGGACTTGGCTTTATATTGCCTGGCTTCCTCCTCCAGATGTACCTTATGCCAACTACTGTGTGATTTGGGGCCAGTGACTTGACCTCTCTAGCCTCTGTTGTGGGTTTTCTGTGATGACTTGATGAGCTAAAGCATTTATAACTGGACCTGGCACTTGGTAAGCACATACATGCTAGCTATTGTAGAAAGAGCCCTGTATACAATTTGGTGGCACGTAAAGGTGTCATGTGAAGTCACTCACCTGTAAAGTTATGTGGTCTTTTCATCATCTCTTTCTCTTGGAGTGTTCTCTATGCCATCCAGCCAGGTTATGCAGGTACCATTAAATTGCATTTTTTAATGTGACCCTAAGAGATCCATATGGAAATAGAACCTAATTTTTTTTTTTTTTTTTTAGGGCTAAAGGAGCAAGCTCATTTAACCCACACAGACTATCTCAAGAGTAATTCACCTATGTCTCTAAAAAGCTAGGGGGAGGAATGACCTCATTCCCATTCATGCATTCATTAATTGAACCTAAGAACAAGATTCGAACTTTCAAGCAGAGTTGAAACAGAAGGACTCCAAATTCAAGGAGAAAAACTACCTAAATTATCCATATATCTTCCCTTTCTCTGCATTTTCTGGGACAACATTTCAAGTTTATTAGACAGGTTGTTTGCTAATATTATGCATTTGGAACAAAACCCTGGGTGTGTGCTTTTTAGAGAATCATGTAAATCATCAAGGTTATACGTAGAACAGTGATTTGCTCAGTGACCAACAGGTCCCTACAGAGAGCAAATACACTGCTCTTGCCAGAGAAAGGAAGCACAATGCTTCCTTATTTTTCTAGCATCCTAGGCTTGCAAGAAAACACACATCCTCCAGATAGTCAGTAAGCTATTCAAATAAATATTGACGATAGGTACTGCTTACTACAGAAGGACTTATTTCTCGTAATTCCACTATTAACAATAATATAGCTATTTTCTGAAATGCCAGCATTATGTGAATTCATTACTTTAGTCTTAATTTTAGAGGTGATTTAGAAATGGAATATTTAAGAGGGATCACATATTTTAACTCAAAACAAATTAACAAAACTAAAACATCACACATACTTTGAAAAAGTGTACGTACAACTGTGGTTGAGTTCAACTGAACAACCTTCAGAAACAAGATCAGCAGGCATTTGTGCAATGCTAATGGCTTTCTCACATTTCCTTGATGATGTCATAATTACCTATGGAAATACAGAAAGCCACTTCCCATCTGCCCAACACAAACATGTCACCTCCTGTTTTTCATTTCCTTACAGTGACAGTCAGCGTTTCTCCAGTTTTCCGGATAACTTTCAGTCCTGAAACAAGAGTTGTTTTTTAAAATTTCTTCCTAGGTTATGTTAAGACATATCTCGTAAGCCATAGACTGACACTTTTTTGTAGAAGGAAAAGAAAAAAAGATTACTGTGGAGCTCAGGGAAGAGATCAAGCTACACATGGCTGCAGTATGTTAAAGTGCTTTGCCTTCTGATTCACCCAGATCCTTTCTGCCAATGGGCTTCATGCAGAGTCACATGACAAAGACCTGCTACATCATTCCTACTGCCATCCACGGACCAGCTTTCACAATCACTCTGATAGTTTTAATCTTCTGTGAAAATCTGAAAGAAGAAAGTAGGCTTAATTTAGGGGTGAGTTTTGGGGGCGACTTGCTTTTCAGGGTCTCTGATGAAATGAGCCCTTTCATCCAATAAGACTCAGAAACCTGTTAGAATATTTTCTGGCTCTTCATGTAGAATTGGTAAGGACATCGCACTCCTGAAGCCCAGACTGTCAGATATAGCTGCCTCCAGTACTGTCTGTAGGTCACCTGGTAGAGGCACAGTCCTACCTGGCTGGTGCTGGTTCCTACCTCCTATGACGGGGATCTGCTGCTACCTATACTTAGTTGTATAGGTAGACCAATTTCAAAAGGAAAAGAAAGATTTTTCAAGATACTGTTACGATTTAGCAAGTTAATTTATTCTCAGAGTTTCCTGAAGTGTTTTGCTTCTGTCTTATTCTATAAGACTCTACTTCAGTGTTTCACCTTGAGAAGGGTCTGTCCTGGTTTCAGAGGTGACTCCAAAGTTGGGTAGGAGGGGGTCTGGAGTTCATCCACGTTTTAGAGGCGGTCTGACATTTGTACACACAGCCTTTGTCCCTTGTGACTTATGAGCCTCTAGAGTGAGAAATACGTGATTTTCCCCATTCCATCACTTAGTAGGTCTCCTTCAGAAAGGAATGTGTGCCCAGGAGCAGGACATACAACCGGGTCCTTCCCTAAGCTTCAGACTAAGAACCTGGCTACCTACTAACCAGCAGCACTTGGATATCACACAAATACAGATTGAGTATTCTTACCTTGAAACTCAAAAATCCAAAATGATCCCAAATCCAAAATTCAATCAGCACTAACATGAGGCTGCAAATGGGAAGTTCGACCTCTGACCTCATGGGATGGGTGGCAGTCAAAATGCAGGTGCACTAAAAATATGATATAAGGTTATTTTCAGGCAATGTATATAAGGTTTACATAAAACAAATTAATTTTGTGTTTAGACTTGGTTCCCATCCCAAAGATATCTCATTATAGATATGCATGTATTCCAAAGTCTGAAATCTGAAACACTTCTTATCCCAAGCATTTTGGATAACAGATATTCAACAGGCACATTAAAATCACCTAGCTCTCCTCCCCCTGTTTCCAGCTACTCCTGCTCCCTGGTCTCTGGACAACAAATTTCTATTCATTTGGTTGCCCAAGCCTTAAACCCAGGGTCATTCTCAGTTTCCACCTCACTAGAGCCCCTCCATCCACATAGCATCCACTTTTAATTATAAACCTAAGACCTAAGAACTTATTCAAATTTATCAAGTATTTTTGATTTATACTGATATTACCTTAATTTCAGCAAGGATAATATGTTACTAAATTAATATAACAGCTTCCAGATCAGCGTCCTTGTCCTCAGGGCCCCTGAATCATGGTCTCCATGAGGGTTCATATCTTGCATATCTTTCACTTGTCGCTGTGTGAAGGAGCCTGGCAGTCTTAGGATGTCTCCACAGACGGCTGCTGCTAGTTCACCATGGCTATCAACCATTTCTCCCACCTCTGGGCACAGTGCCTGATTTTCTATGGGGAAATTGGCACCCTCTTTCCTTTTGCTTTGATCTCTGCCATCCTTCTCCACCCTCTCTGACTTGGCCAGCTCCAGAGACTGGAGATGAGGAAATGTTGTACCTCTGGCCCAATGATTGATTCAGGCTTGGTCATTTGTCTCTGTCAGCCCAGTGGAAAAAAGCAGTCTTAGGAACCACTGGTGAGGAACAGCTTCTGTGGGGTTTACAAACCAGTGGACTCCAAGCCTGGCTGCTGGTCGCCATCTGGACATGGTGGACACCAGGCCTTGCTGGAGATAGCCCGACAGAGCTGTGTCACACAGGCTCTGACATGTCAGTCTGTGGGACTGCGCTTGCTCAAACCACTTCACCTCTAGTTTATTTTAGTTATTCAGACCCTTTTTTTGTTTGAATCAATTTGAGTTGATTTTTTTTTTTAACTTGAAAACAAAAGAGACTTGATTTCTATTTATGGCCATGTAAGATCCTTAAGGATTAGGCTTCTCCCTTTTTCTTTTTCCCTTGAGACTTTTGCACTAAGTACTTCCTGTTCATTCTTCAAGAACCAGCTAAAATTTTGCTACCTTCCAATATGCTTCCCCTGACTGCTCCAGGCTCTCTGCTCACAGCTCTGTGGTAACACTTATCATATTCCTTCCTAATTGCTTATTTGCTTTCTGGGCACTCTCTCTGGGAGCCCCTATAGTGGGACTGTTCATGGATGCATCTCCAGAACCACATGTATTCACACACATGTCTGAAGCAATGATTAAAGCCTCAAAGAAAGAGAAAAGAGAAGTGATTTTCTCAGTTTAAAGAAAACGTGATTGACATATTTAGAAAGATCACTTCCTTTGGGTAAATCACAAAGGTCTGAGCAAAGACAGGTTTGGAAACATGAAGACTGTTTAAGTCATGTAGGCAAGAAATTCTGGCATGATGAATGACCAACATACTGTGAGTGTGAGGATGGAGAGGAGGCAATAAATTTGAGATATTCAAGATAATAGCATCAGATATTGAGACAATGTGGGGTAAAAAGAAGAGAGAAATCCAGATGACCTAAGGTTTATGGAGGCAGGAAACATACAGAAGAAAGAATTTTGGAGTTAGGGAAAATTTTGCTTTTTTTTCCTAAGTTAAAGTTGAAGTGTGGTTTTTATACAATAATATTCACCCTTTTAAAATATACAATTCAAGTGACTTGTAATATATTCACAAGATAACCATAACCATTATATAATTCCAGAACATTTCTCAAAGAAATCCAAGCCATATTAGCAAGAACTTCCCATGGCACCATCTTCCCCAGCCTCTGACTATAACTGATCTATTTTATGTCTGCATATATTTTCTTCTTCTGGACATTTCATGTAAATAGAATCATACAATATGTGTCTATTTGTGTCCAGATTCCTTCACTTAGTATGACTCTAAGTATTATCCCTATATTTGTACTTTGTGTATTTTTGTGGCTAAAATTATTTACATTGTATAGATATACCACAATTCATTCATTCATTCATTCATTAGTTGATGAACACTTGGTTGTTTCCATCCTTTGACTATTATGAATAATACTTTTATGAACATTTTATGTACAAGATTCTTTGTAGACATGCATTTTCAATTCTCTTGGACAAAAGCCTAGGTGTAGATTTTCTAGGTTATATAATATCTCTATGTTTAATTTTGGTTCCCCTGAGGATTGAACCCAGGGCCTTGTATATGATAGGCAAATGTTTTATCAATGAACTATATCCCCAGTTCTCCATTTTTAACTTTCAGAGAAACTGACAGATCATTTTCCAAATTGGCTGCATCTCCCTACATTCCTATTAACAATTTACAAAGGTTCAAAAACCCGAATCAACACTTGTTATGTTCTTTTGTTTTGGTGACAGCCATTCTAGCAATGTCAACTGGTTATCTCATTGTGGTTTTGATTTGCATTTCCCTAGACTAATGATGCTCAGCATACTCTCATGAATTTTATGCTATTTGTGTATCTTCTTTAAAAACCATGTCTCATTCAAATGTATAAATTGCCAAGATCATTGTAATGTCATGTGTAGCTAAAAAAAAAAAAAAAGAAACAAAACATGTCTATTCAGATTCTATGATTTTTTTAGAGAACAAAATTTTATTCTAAAAATAGAACTTCAGTAACAATAAAATACCAAAAGGCAGTCATGATAATACAAAAGGGGAAAATAAATAACAGAAATTTGCTCTATTTTTTTTTCTGAAAAATATAAAATTATCACAGTAATGTGCTGCTAACTCTCATTTATCAATATTTGAATTACTCACTGTGTGAAATAGCCAAAGAAACTTTAAAGTCATAGGATAGATGGCTTCTATCTAATTTTTAGATTGCTTTTATCTTCAAGTAAAAGTGTCTTTTAATACCTGGATTGCTTTTATTGTTAAGTAAATGCATTCTCAAGCAAAGCAAACAAATTTATATATGGGCCTATTTTCAAATGGAATTATTTTTGTTATTGAGCTGTAAAAATTCTTTATAAATTCTGAATACTGGACCCTTATCAGATATATAATTTGCAAATACCTTCCGACTTTGTGAATTATCTTTTTATTTTCTTTTTTGTGTCCTTCACAGCATAAAATTTTCAAAGAAAATCTCAATGAAATTCAATATTTCTATTTTTCGTCTGTTGCTTGTGCTTTTGGTATCACCTCCAGGAAATTACTGCCAAATCAAAGATCATGAATATCTAAGCCTATGTTTTTTTCCAGAAGTGTTGCAGATTTAAATCTTGTTTTTAGGTTTCTAATTTATTCTGGACTAATTTCTATATATAATGTGAAGAAGAATATAACTCCATTCTTTGGTATGTGTATATTTGGTATCATTTTGTTGGAAATAATTCTTATTTCCCCCATTGAATTGTCCTGGCATTGTTGCCCCAAATCAATTGATTTTGGATTCTCTATTTTACTCCATTTAACTGTATGTCTATACTAGTGCCAGTACTATATGCTCTTGATTACTAAAGCTTTCTAGTAAGTTTTGAAATTCAGATGTGTGAGTCCTCCAACTTTGTTAATTTTTTTTAAAAGATTGTTTTGGCTAATCTGGATCCTGTGGATTTCCCATGAATTTTAGGATCAGCTTGTACCAGTAAGTGAGCTAAGATTTTGAGAGGGGTTGTGTTGAATCCGTTTTGGGGATATTGCCATTCTTAACAATATGGTCTTTTGATTCATGAATATGAGTTTTAGTAGAATTGTTTTTAGTAGGAAACAGGTATAGCACATGGTTACCCTTTTTTCTTAATTTCTTCCCATTACTTAATTAATTTCATTCAATAATGTTTTCACTGTACTTGCACTTCTTTTGTTAAATTGACTCAAATTTCTTATTGTTATGGATAGGATATTGTAAATAGATAATTTCCTTTCAGGATTATTCATTGTTATTGTGTAGACATACAATTGATTCTTAAAAAAACTGATCTCATGAGGGGCATGGTGGCACATGCCTGTAATCTCAGCTACTCAGGAGGCTAAGGTAGGAGAATCATGAATTTGAAGCCAGCCTTGGCAATTTAGTGAGGCCTTGTCTCAAAATAAAATTTAGAGCACTTGCTATACATGTGTAAGACCCTGGGATCAACTCTCAGTACAAAAAAAAGAAGGAAAAAAAAAACAATCAAAAGCTCATCTTATATCCTACAACCTGCTAAATTTATTTATTAGCTCTGTAGATTTTGAGGGTATATTAGTTCTGTTGTTGAAATATTAAATTTTTAGACATCTAGCATGTCATTGAACACAAAGAGTTCAAGGAAAGTGTCTTGGATGGGTTTGGAGGTCTTATAACTATTGATCTTTTTAAATATCTAAAATTACATTTTGTTTAAGGGATTGGAAAGCTGAGACTGTCATCCGAAAATTGTTTTTGAGGACAAATTTTTTAATGGCATGTAGACAGATGGGTAGAAGAATTTGGAAGTTCCTGTCTCCATTTCCTTTTGATTTTTTTCATAGTTAACATTCCTTTTGCTCCTGCAGAGGAGGCTCCGCACCAGCACATCTGCCACGTGTTTTGCTGTTATCGATATGGGTGCTCCAAAGTCAACAGGTGTTTTCTGATGTCAGAGCCTTTCTTGTTTTCTTTGGAGGCATTCCAGTGCTGGATAAAGACATGTTTGCCTGAAAAGGCTTATCTCCTCATTAGGACCAGCTTTCCAGAAGATGCTCTGGGCCACCTTGCCAGGGAATTGTCCACCAGAGAATGTCCACACAGTTCATCACACTTCCACGCCTGAGTTCCAAGCAGTGTGTGTTGTAGGATACACATTGTCAGTGTCTCCATGGAAACCAGATCAAACATT